CCAGAACTTGATGATTTTCTCACTCTGGAAGCCTATGATTACATAGTCCTGCATCGCCCTAAGGAAGGAACCTTCAAAACTTTGAACTGAGAAAGAGGTTGGTTCATTGTGCCTAGTGGTTGGGTCATTTGGATTCTGTATTGTGTACTTTACGTTGTTGATGTGAAAAAAATCGCAAGGGAACGATTTTCACAGGATTTCATGTTTGACTTGGTGATCCTTATTTAATAAAAAGGGAAATGTTTTTCGTTTTATTACATAGTGAGAGTTCAGCCTTCTTCTAAAATTGTGTCAAACTACAAAATGTGCTATTTTGGATTTGCTATCTCGCTCTTGCTGAGTGTCTGGCTGAAGTCTAGTAAGAGGCTGAGAGCATGAAAATTTTAAATTTTGGTGGTGCAACATAATGAAAATAAAGTTGATGTGAAGATAAGATATCATATATGGAATTAGTGAAAGTTGATGCATTGGTTTTTAATGTAATGTTATTATTATTGTAGATGTAACATTTTTGTTAAAAATAATAATTAAGAAAATAAAAATAAAGTATTCCTTAAAAATTATTAATCATGTTAAGTGTACTATATGGTTAGACGGTCATGCAGATAAGATTGAATGGAAGAGGCCATTAGAAGGGGACGATCGAAGCCATCCCGACCCCAGTAGTCAACATCTCTAAACTACACTTTAGATCAAGATTATTGGTAAGCGTTATTTAGTAGGTAATGAGTCTTGATTGGACAATGATTAGGGTTTCACTAATCTCAGACTCATCTTGAAACCTATAAACAGTGGTCAAAGGTAACAAGGTAGGTGATTGTATTACTACAAATTTAAGAATTTGTTGTGACCTCGATCGAATTAATTACTGACTTGAGCGTTGAAGTGCCTTTTTTTGATAGGTACTTCGAACCGTTTGGAGTGAAAGAACGAAGGATTTTGAGGACATTCAGAGTTACCTAAGCTTACTTGGAGAAAGTGTAGAAGATCCTCGACCTTACATCTAAAACCTTTTGGCGTCCACTGTGGGACCCGAGTGATCTAGAAGAAGACCTAATGGTGACCACGAGAAACATGAGCTCATAGAACCCGATAGAAATGATCAGAGTTCTACAACAATTTGAAGATGCAACAACAGAATGAGGGAGAGTTGGCCGCCCAGAGAGCGGAAAATGCGGCAAGGGCTGCGCAGGAGAATAATACTACATCCTTCCTAACACCTTTCTCAAATTCTCTTAGCATTACACATCATTTTTGTAAGAGTTAAATATGTTTGTAGTCTTTTAACATCAAACAAAGTTTTAGGTTATATTTGAGCCATTTACTTCGTTCTACATATTTAAACTTAAATATTAGTTTTGAACATTATTTAATATGTAAAAAATATTAGCATCATTGAGTTAGAAAGATAATATCCATTTATTTTTAAACTATGACAACTAAAATGCATTAAGAACAAATTTAAATTTTACATCCAAGTTTAAGAAACTATAAACACATTTAACTTTTTTCTTTTAATTATACACATAATTATTTTCTTCATTATTCATTCACATGCCAAAGTTGTCTTAGCATTTTTCAAAACTTTTCCATTCCCAAGTCCTTCAAGCATATCAAACATGAAGATTTAACTTATTTCTCACTCAATCAACAATTAAATCAAATAAAAGTTAAGAATCACCTAATACCAAAGATTTTCATTTTAAAATAATTCAAACAAGATCAACACTCTATTAGTTGTACTTCAACCAAATATACACAGTAATAAACTTATCAAAATCAAATAGAAATGAACATCATCACATGGTGTGTAATGTGGAGTTTAATTATATTTCAAATTGTTCGGTATTTCTTTATTTGATCTTTACATATTGAAAGATATGAAATTTTATAATTAATGCAAGATAATGTTATAATTTATATAAAATGATAAGTACATTAAAATAATAAAATAAGATAATGAATCAAAATAACAGTTATGTTATTATATATACAAATTATGTATAAATTTTTTTTAATGAAAATTCAATTATAAAAGCATATACTTACAAAAGACTTTGAAGTTAATTAAGTTTATTCTCTACATATAATTAATACTTTTACAATATTTATACAACTCCTTTTCATTTTTAGTTTGTTATTTTTATTATCTTTAATTCGTATATAGATTTTTAAATATTTTGATTAAACTGAAAATAAAATAAATCTTAGAAATGGAAATTCACATAATAAAATCTGATTGGTTTAAATCTAAAATATTATTGTGTTAAAAATCTAAAAAGATAACTTATGTAATAAATCCTATAAATGAAATCTAAAATATTATAAACCATATTTTAAATTGAGATAAGTTTATATTCATCATCAAAATTTCAAATAATTTAACTGTAATTAAAATAAAGAAAATAAATATTGTACTACTAAATCCTTGGAGATAAATTAAAATTGAACAATATCATCAATTAGTTTAATTGATAGTGAGAAGAAAACGGTAAAACGCGTGAAAATCCAGCGAATAATTGATAGAATCGCCGCCTCTTTTGAAAGGGGAGACACACTCTATCGTTTTTTATTATTTAAGTGGGTAAAGCCCAAAGGAATCTCACAATAAACGCGTCAAGGAAGGCGGCTTCTTTCGTCTCTGTCTTCTGCTTCGGCTTTTCTCCTTTCGCTTGATTTTCGTGTCGCCGGTAAGGCAATTCGATACCTCTGAACCCTAACGAGACGCAGCCACCGTTTAGGGTTTCGATCATCCATTCATTCTTCCTTGTTTCCTTTGCCTGATTGCTTCCCTGTGGTTTCATTTCCATCTTACGTTTCAATTCTGTTGATTCTATCGAGGAAGCGCTTGAGAAAATTATATTTGATTTTTGTCATGTGCGTTTCTCTTGATTAGGGTTTGTGAATCTTTAAAAAAAAATTGAATTATACGTTCTGTTATTTTGGGGAGGGTTAGGGTTTCGAAAATTTGGGATTATTGAGGATTTCGGTTTGAAATACATTTTTCTTGGATTCTAAATTGCTTATTGAGAGGAATTGTGCTTGTGCTTGTCAATCGATGGCGGCAGGGCGAAAAAGTGTTCCGCTCAAAGGGGAATTTTTCAAATACAGCTCAACAAAGAGGTCCGATCACTATAAGAATGGCTCTTTCGGCGTGGAAGAGGGTGGATCTCGCAGCCATCACTTTGCTCGTTCCCATGAGCCTCGTGGTGGGAAAGAGGAGAGAGAGCAAGGTGAGATCTGTGTTGAAGATGAGGAATATGAGGTTGCTTTGCCACCGCCACAGAAGAAAAGGAAGTTTTCTCCAATCGTATGGGACCTAGCAGAGAAGGAAGAAAAAATTTCGTCTGAGAGTAAGATCTCGGATACTGTTGCTCTGTCTCCTCCTCGTCCATCTGTACTGAGCACTCCTGGAGCCAACAATCCTGGTTCAGATGTCCTTATGGAGGAATCTTTGCGGGATTCTCGAAGCTATAGACAGGATGTGGAGGAAGAGAAGGATGTGCAAGAATGGACTATCAGAAAGTCAAGATGGGCTACTGATGATGGTCCCTCACCCATGGCTGCTGATGATAAATTCAATCATGTCAAAGGCAGCTCCAGTCCTGAAATTGGTGAATTCCATCGCGGTGGATCTTCAGAAAGCACCGTCACTAGATCGTCAGGAAGCACGGGGAGAGATCAATATCTTGGACTTTCTACTGATGACGCCGATTCTGAAAGGGATTTCAATATAGACCCCGTGGTCGATGTTGAGGGACCAAGAGACGTTGGTGATTGTCCATCGGATTCTGAAGAGAGTGATGGATTGATGCAAGTGCAGAGAAATATAAATATGCTTCACAGTTGCAGAAGTGTGTGCGAGTTTGAGATGATTAAGAAAATAAATGAAGGAACTTATGGTGTTGTCTATAAAGCTAGGGATAAGAAAACTGGAGAATTAGTCGCGTTGAAGAAGGTGAAGATGAATATAGAGAGGGATGGCTTTCCGATGTCATCCTTGAGGGAAATAAACATTCTCTTGTCTTTTAACCATCCCTCCATTGTGAATGTTAAAGAAGTAGTTGTAGATGATTTTGACGGTACTTTTATGGTAATGGAATACATGGAGTATGACCTCAAGGGAATGATGGAGGTTAAGAAACAGCCTTTTAGCATTAGCGAAATTAAATCCTTGGTAAAGCAACTTCTTGAAGGTGTCAAGTATCTTCATGATAACTGGGTTATCCATAGGGACTTGAAGTCATCAAACATTCTGCTGAACCATGACGGGGAGCTTAAAATATGCGATTTTGGGTTGTCGAGGCAGTATGGAAGCCCTCTGAAGCCATATACTCCTGTTGTGGTTACACTGTGGTACAGGTGAGTAGCATTATAATATTACTTTAGTTTTTATCGGAGTTATCTCTGTAGGTTTATATGATTTTTCATTTATATTGGTAGAGAAGTATATGCCGTAAACTCATGAATCGGTCTATTGGTTTGTGCAGGGCACCTGAACTTTTGTTGGGTGCTAAAGAATATTCAACAGCAATTGACATGTGGTCAGTAGGTTGCATAATGGCTGAATTAATTTCCAAGCAGCCTCTGTTCAGGGGTAAAAGTGAACTTGAACAACTTGATCAGGTTATTTTACTAAAATCAATTGAATTTTACTTTTTCATCACCCCATTTATTCTACTACGTGAGAACTCTGCTGTCTAGTAACACTTCTGTCTTTGTCCACTGTCTGCAGATTTTTCGAACCCTGGGTACACCTGATGAGAAAATTTGGCCTGGATTATCCAAATTACCTGGGGCTAAAGCAAAATTTGTCAAGCAACCGTAAGCTTCTCTTCTTTTCATTTTTCTTTATTAGAATTCCATGTATGACTTATGGGTGATAATGCAGTTATACTTTGTCAACTGCGTTTGATTATAAGTTATTTGATATTTCAGGTTTAATATGTTAAGGAAGAAGTTTCCAGCTGCATCATTTACCGGTTTGCCAGTTTTATCGGAGCTGGGATTTGACTTGTTGAAGAAGCTTTTAACTTATAATCCCGAAGAGGTATATATTTTTCATTGAATAGTTTTTTATTGGTTTTCTGCAACATGAAGCCGAATAAAACATAATGTTAAAAACTTGTTTTACTTCTTGCAGAGGATAACTGCTGAAGATGCTCTCCTTCATGATTGGTTCTATGAAGCCCCTCCTCCCAAATCTGATTTCAAGCCTATTTTTCCTTCTTGGAGGTGCTAGGACAGGTACTCTTGCTGGATGTATGAAATACCAAGAACAATGCTATTTTTACTGCCATTGTTTCCAACTTTTTCTTACCCAGTTAATGATCATATACAAAGAATGATATATTGCAAGTGACAGCGTGATGGACTTGACTGGGCTATTGTTTGCTTTATAAATTACAAGCGGCGGATGAATGTATATACCTGAGAAGGTATGATTAGCACTTGATTTTTTTCCCCTAGTGAAACTCAGTGTATCTCTTGCTGGTGAAAATGATGTATATAATATTTCAGGACAACTAATAGTTAATGATGAATATTTGCTCTGGTATGTTCTTATCCTGTATCATCTATTTCCGTTTTTTTTTCTTTGGGTTTGCTCTAACCTTTTGGCTGCCCCATTTAAGGCTCGTTTGAACATAGTTGCGAAAATGGAATTATTTCATTTCAATATCTCGACTATTGTAAATTATATTTAGAATCGTTTATTCTTTTTTGAAGTTTATCGAAATATGATTACAAGATAAATAAATTCGTTTAAATATATACAAAATAATGAATGAGAAATAACATTAGCTAAAAAAATTTAATTTAAGGAAAACAATAGAACATTCTACAAATATTCAGTTATTGCCAAACATCTTTCATTTTCTAGGGAAAAAACAGCTGAAGTGATTTCAGCTGTTCTAAAGTTGCTGAACTAAATAGGGGATGAAGTTGCCAAACATCTTACATGTTCTTCTATTTTCTTCTACTAATTTTACACCAGGAAATGATTCAAAAAACATTGGTTGCATTCATGCGCCAAGAATTTGTAGGTGTTGGATATGTAGAAAAATAATCAATAATCAATTCCCAGGGATATTCGTGGTCAGCAGGTAAACATGTTCAATTTCAAAGTTGATCCCTGAAATAAAATGATGATAGTGTGTGCTTGCTTTCTGGGGCCTAGCTTCCATGTTCTTGCCCTTTTTTCTGTAATAGGGTTTACATTTCCCTAACCGGAATGCGTTTTTGTTTTTTAATTTAACAATACACGGGAATGAATCTAGGCGGCAGTGATTGCATTCTGGAAAAGGGGGTCACAAGGAAGCCGTGAGATATGGTGAAGATTGTGGAGCTCTGCAAGGCAGAGGTAGAGGTAGGTAGGTGATATTTGTGCTCCCCTGGCTCTGCTTTTGGTGGGTCGTATATGGTAATTTGATGAAATTCAATTAAAGGTAACATATTCCTTTATTTATTTATTATAGAGGATGAAAATTTCCTTGTAGTGAGGAGTTTTAATTTACTTTATTCGTCTCAAATATGACACGTTCTTCATTTGATGAGTGTATACTGTCATTATATCAAGTATTAACTGACCTCGCAAGCGCTGAACACTGTTCTTACGGTGTCTGATTCACTCAATCTTTTCCTCTGGATTTTCAGTTCGAGGTGTAAAATTGAGGATGATGAAGATTTTATTGAGTACTTTTGTTGGAGAGAGGAGGAAAAATAATTTTGAAATTAATAGTTTGATCCCTTATTTCT